TAGGGGAATTGAAAAAGGAAAAACCTGGGTACTCGAGGATAAAACTGGGGGGGCAGCAGATTTTTATGGGGRGCATGGTGCCCCTGATTAGGCCTCATGCTGCAGTCTGGACCTTAAACAACATATTAAGACTGAGGTTGGTCCTCAGTTAATGTGACTGTGTTGAAATGACTGCAGAGACCAGGCGACACCACCAGGCAGAAATAATCATCCAGAACCTCGACTCCACCAATTAAAACAACAAGAAACAGATTCTAAAAGTTATAAAGTCTCCCTGCCCTCGTTCTTCCTTGATTTCTTCAAAACGTATTTACAGAAAACAGGAAGTGTTGATGTGGGCCTCTTTGTGTTTCCTGTCAGGATGGCCTCAGTAAATCCGACATGGAGAAGCTGACCTTCTACGCCGTCTCGGCTCCAGAGAAGCTGGACCGGATCGGCGCCTACCTGGCCGAGAGGCTGAGCAGAGACGTGGTGCGACACCGCTACGGGTGAGGCTAAAGCACAGACGGTTACCCAGAATGCACCACAGAGTCCCTTGGTTTGATTAGATAAATGCTGCACGGTCTGACCTTCAGGGTGAATACGCTGGAAGGTCTATAATGGAGTCCAGATGACCTGGACTTGACCTTTGACCCTGCTCAGATCGAGCTGCTTCTGTAGACATATCCACCTGAGCGTTGTTACCTTGAAATGTGTCTTCAGGTATGTGGTGATCGCCATGGAGGCTCTGGACCAGCTGCTGATGGCCTGTCACTCTCAGAGCATCAAACCCTTCGTGGAGAGCTTCCTGCACATGGTGGCCAAGCTGCTGGAGTCCAGAGAGCCGGACCTGCAGGTTCTGGGAACAAACTCGGTGAGAAAACGTCTGCTTGCATCAAAACGTGATGATTGTTGTAGAATTCAGGTTGTTTTATTCTCCACGCCTGCTTCAGTTAGTCGTATTCACRTTGTTTTACGTTTCACGCTCCTGCAGGGTGTTTTAACGAGAGGAAAGAGTCACGCAGATACTTAAAGACCACACAGCTGTCGTTCTGAAGCACTGTAATGCAGATTTATCTGCACCATTTGGAWAATGTCGTACTGCAGGCACAGCAAACGTAAAATGCTTTAAAGAAGAGTGAAAATGTAAATAATGTCACAAATAAATAACAAAAATGATCATGTGAAGCGCCACGTGCAGCTGTTACCTGAAGGCTTTTGTTTTTTAATTCAACTTAATGTTGTTTTTTTATCAGCAAATTACATTTTTTGTTTTTGCAAATTTTTGGCTCATCATAAACAAAAACTTTAAACTTGAATTAATTACTTTGTTTTCATAAAATAGACCAAATTATTTAGCAAAACCCCTGATCTAAGTGTAGTAAAGAACATCAGTTTTTAACTGAGCTGCAGCAGATTTTTGTCCCTCCTGTCCGGGCCGATGCCCTTGCCACTGTTAGCGGTTCATCCGAGCTGTAGGTTCACGCCTCTGCATTATTTATGTGTGGTATTTAGAGCGACAGAGCAGAGAGGCTGTGGGGCCGAGCTGCAGACAGCCTGCAGCTTAGAGACGTGATGATTCACTTCTCCTGTTTTACTGTTTGTTTTCTTTGTGTCCCACCAGAACACAACTAAACCTTTGTTCTGTTGGCTAAATATCACTGTAACGAGTCTGTAGATCTCTGCTGAGCTGGTTAGGGGACGTTCAGCTGCTTAATTACCTGGAAGAGTCAAACGTGATGTTTTTTTTTTATCATCCCTGAAACGTTACAAAAACATTTCAGAACAAGTTGTTTCAAGAAACAGAAGTATTAAWGAAATGAAACACGTCTGCTGCAAAGTTTCAAACAAAGCCTGTTTGACCTGTTAGAGCTCAGAGTCTGTGTTGGGCCTGACTCTCAGCTACTACCACACCACGTTCCTGCTCAACGTCTGTGAAATTTATTGAGTTGTAGAGATTTTTAGCTGTGGGTTCTCTTTGTTTTTCTATTAGAGCTGTGTATTGGCAAGAATGTGGCGATACGATGCATATCATAACAGAGGGGTCATGATATGATATATGTGAGCCATCATATCGAAATGAGGATTAAGTCAAATTTTGTAAAAAATCACCTAATTACATTTTCACATTCTTGGCTTTAAAAGCTACATTTTGATACCTGGATCATTCTGTTATCTTAATTAAATC